GACTCATGGGGTATTTTTTTTTTTTTTTGTACTAGGGAACAAACTCAGGACCTTGTTCTTGGCAAAACCACTGAGCTAAATCCCCAGCCCCTCCATGGGATGTTTTAAGGCTTGGAATCAAAGTGTTTTTCTAACAGGTAGGTGGAGTCCATGTGTCAAGGCCTATCTCCAGTTTGTTCTAATTTCTCTGCACACATTTGTAGATCTAGGATCGCAGACCTTTGCTATATCACCATAATCACACAATGTCCATCCTAACTTACAATTCATATCTTGTGCCTGGAAACAGCCCCTGTATTTAACAATAATACCTACACATAAAACAATCCACTGTTACAATTTATATGGTCACAAAACATTAATAATCTTCTGTAGACCAAGCATATGTTTTTAACCATAACTGTCATGCGTCAATTCACAGCCAGAATCCCCAAGATCAAAAAAATTTGCACAATGCAAATAATAACTTAGAATACACATGCACACATAGACACAAGCTCTCATACACACACATAGAACTGTGCTTAGGGAAATGCCACTGAAGGCATATTTTGCTTAACTGCTGCTCTTGGTATTTTTGTTTGGAAAATTTATCACAGTAGTGCAGAGCTGTTTATTGGATGAGCAGAGAAGAAAGATATGCTTGTGGCAACCAGAAAGTTTTAAGGTCTTTCAAGTTGTATAAAATGGACCTTCAGAAACATTTAAGTGTTCTCAGGGTGCAAAGTATCACATCTCAGGCTGAAATGTGATATCAAACCAGTTGCAATAAGTGTACAGCAGTCATCTCTTGAGGTCAAGCCTGGTACCCAGATAGGCAAGAAAGCTTCAGGATACATAGCTTGTTGGCCTTTCCCCATATTGCCCCATAATTTGATCATGTGTGAATTTCACAGAAGATCCATATTGCTCTACTAATTTGGTATTAAGGATTTCCTCATATTCCTCTCAAATTTTACCTTGGATGTCTTTTAAGAGCCTCTCACATATTACTCCAGCTTATTGAATGGTAAAGCTGGGCTGTTCCTTCATCCAGGAGGAACCTGGAGAACTGGGTGCCCTGAGTGCCGAGGAGTGAGGCCGGCTTTCTGAAGCACACGCTTCACTCTGAGAACAACTTCTAGATGTCTCCCCCTCTGCATGCTGTGTTCTAAAAATTTTACTGTGGTGTTGGAAGGCGTTGCTTGCTGCCCTGAAGGCTTGCTGTGGCTTCTGAAGAATTGGTGGGGCACAGCGTGGCCTCAAATTCGAGGGCTGCTTCTGCGTCACCCCACATGGCCAAGCTGCTGAGGGGCCAGAGACTGGGACCCACAGGGCAACAACTGTGGTCCAAGCTTAGGCTCCTCAGCGAGGCTCACAAGCCAAGCCTTGTCACCACTGCTATTTAAAGTAGTCCTTGAGGCTTCTCTCATGAGTGGCACATGTGGGCAACTTGCTTGCTTTGTGTGTGGAATCTATATCAAGAGATTTCAGAAGCATCATTTTTTGGTGCTTGGGAAGCTGGTGATCATTGGTCTTGGAACTCTTTAAAAACGTAGTCTTGGAAATTTTAGCCAGCTCAATTAGACAAGAGAAAGAAATAAAAGGAAAACATAGGAAAGTAAGAAATCAAAATTTCTCTATTTGCAGATGATACAATCTTGTACTCAGAAGGTTCTAAAGACTCCACCACATGACTCTTAGATCTGATAAATTCAGCAAAGTGAAAAGATACAAAATCAACACACAAAAATCAGTAGCTTCCTATACACCAGTAATGAATCCATCAAGAAAGAAATCAGTAACTCCATTAACAATAGCTTTAAAAAATAAAATGACTACCATTCAATCTAAATAAAGAAGTAAAGAATTTCTACAGTGAAAATTACAGAACACTGAATAACGTAATGAAGACACTAAAAGACAAAGAGACTGCTCAGGTTCATTGATTGGCAGAAATAACATTGGAAAATGTTTTACATTATTGAAAGCAGTCAATGTAATCCCCGTCAAAATATCAATGACATATTTTACAGAACTAGAAAAAACAACCTTAAAATTCATATGGAATCAGAAAAGACAGAATAGCTAAAGAATTTCCAAGCAAAAAGAGCAAGGCTGGAGGCATTGCGATACTCAATTTCAAATTATACTACAAAGCCACAGTAACAAAACAGCATGGGATTGGCACAGAAACAGCCACATAAACCAATGGAACAGAATAGAGGACACAGTAGCAAACCTACACAACCATGGCCATGTGAGAGTGGACAAAGGTGTCAAAAACTTATGCTGGAGAAAAGACAGCCTCTTTAGTAAATGGTGTTGGGAAAACTTTGGATATCCACCAGTCAGAGGTTGAAACAAGATCTCAATTTCTCACCCTGTACACAAATCAATTCAAAATGGATCAGAGACCTAAGTATAAGATCTGAAACTTTGAAACTGACAAAAGAAAACATAGGGGAAACAGTGGAGGTCATTCACTGAGGCAGATATTTCCTAAACAGGAGTCCAACAGCATAAGAAATAATAGCAATAATGAACAAATGGGATTGCACCAAATTAAAAAGTTTCTGCACAGCAAGGGAAACAACAGAGTAAAGAAAAAGACAAAGGGCCGGGGATTTAGCTCAGCGGTTCAGTGGCCTACCTTGCAAGCACAAGGACCCGAGTTCAATCCCCGGTACCAAAAAAAAGAAAAAAAAAAGAAAAGAAAAAGACAGCTACAGAATGGGCAAAAATCTTTACACCTTCCACTTCTGACAGAGGATTAATATCTAGAATATATAAAGAGCACTAAAAAAACAAATAACTTCATCAACAAATAGACAAATGAATTGAGCAGACAGACATTTCTTAAAAGAAGAAAACATTGAAAAATGTTTAACATCTTTAGTAACCAGGAAAATGCATTTCAAAAAGTACACTGAGATTCCACCTCACTCCAGTGAGAATCTCATCTAATATACACACACAAAAAAAGAAAAAAATGCTGGTGAAGGAATACAGAAAAAGTAACATTTCTACACCACTGGTGGGAATGTAAAGTAGTACTGCTATGGAAATCAGTGTGGAGGTTCCTCAAAAAAGTTAAAAATAGCAATACTGGCCAGGGATTTAGCTCAGTGGTTCCACTGCCTGCCTCACAAGTGCAAGGACCTGAGTTCGATCCCTGGTACCAAAAATAAATAAATTAATTAATTAAATAGTAATACTATTTGCTCCAGTTATGCCATTTTTTGGTATATTCTCAAAGGAATTAAAGTCAGCATACCACATTGATACCTACAGATCCATGTTTACGGCAGCATAATTCATAATAGTTAAGCTAAGTACACAGCTGCAGAAAAGAAGGAAAAATGGAAACAGCTTTTGTAAATAAGGAGTTTGGAAGAGGGGTTGAAGGCAGGGGAGTGGAATGGAAAAATGGAATCAAAGTACATCATGTACAGGTACAAATTCCCTATGATGAATGTGATCATTATATATATCTAGATTATACCAATAAAATTAAAATAAAAAAGAAAACTGTCACAGTGCTCGTCAACAAGTGAATAGATAAAGAGAATGCAGCATATATACACAATGGAGTATTCAGCCATAAAGAAGAGGTAAATCTGTATACCTAAAATGTACCAATAAACTCAATGAGACAGAGAGAGAAAAAAAGAAGTAGTAAATCATGCATTTGCAGGAAGAAGTTATGGAAGTAGAGACCAAGTGAATTAATTGAGACAAGTTACTCTCAGAAAGACAAATATTTAATGTTTTCTCTCATGAGTAGAAGCTAAAATATATTAGACAGAGAGAGAGAGAGAGAGAGAGAGAGAGAGAGGGAGAGGGAGAGAGATGTGACAGGAAAGTAGAAAGGCGAGAAGAGGAGGATTAAGGGAGGGGAAAAATGAAGATAGGGTTAATGGGTTATAAAATAATCAAAGTGTTATATGCATGCACAAAATGAAATCCATTTTCTGGATGACTAACATGTACTAATAAAGGAAGTGACACATAAATAAATAGGCAGCCATCTTTTGAGCTCTTCCTAAGAGTCAGGCATCTGCCTATGGCACAAGGTCAGATGGGAGGAAGGAAATATCCAAGGGGCCTGGAATGCTGGCCTAGGGCACCTCATTACATCCAAAGAATATTTTAGTGACAACATGGCCTCTTACTCTGTTAGGCTATACAGACAGTATCACCTTTGTTCCTTGCTCCTCTTCCTTATCCTCTCCAGTGTCTGTGCCTCACCATGCATTCAGTCACTGAGGTGTACCAGTTCTAACAGAGAAACATGTCTACCCCTCCTCCTCCATGGCCACCGCCTAAGGTCAGGTCCTCATCCTTCTTGCCTTTTAACCAGTGTCCACTCCCAGGGCTCTTCCTATCCTTCCATCACACTGCTGATGGGGGCACTTTCTAGCTTGGGGCCATTCCAGAACCACTGCAATAGGTTCAGGTTTTCTGTAGTTAAGGGGAGGAAATCTCCAGTTCAAGACCAGCCCATAAGAGCAGTGCTCTGGGCAGTGACTCTGGTCCTCCATCCAGCACCCAAAGAAATAGAACAGCAGCTCCTTTAAAACCTGCTACTTCTGGAGTGGGTAAACAGTCAAGAAGTGGGCAATGAAGAAAAGTACAACACCTAGAAATGTATTCTTTGTACCTGCCTTGACCTTCTCTATGCAAATGCCCAGTGTTGTGATTCTTAAAAATAGTCTTTGCACTTCATGTAGCACCTTTCATCACATAATCTCACTGAAGGAGCTCAAAATAGTCTTCCCACAAATCTGATTACCAGGCATCCCCTTCCCAGAAGTCCCTAAGCACCTGGGAAGAAGAGCAGAGAGCCGGGGGTGGGGCATACTTGCTCGGGGACAGGTAGAGTGGAATGATTGCTGTATTTATATTTGGGTATGTCAAAAAATATTTAAAAAGTGTAAACTATCATGAATTTAGTTTGGTGAAAGTAGGAAGGAAAAAAAAACAGTAAAGTATCTTGGTAGGGCACTATACTGGTACAACACAAAGACACTAAATGAACGCATCATGAATATTGTACTGACTACTCAGGACAAGTTTCAGATGCTGGCTTTCTCAGACTCAAAATATAGAAGAGAAAACATTTTGAGCAATACATTATCAATAGGAGGTGCTGGTATCTTTATAGTGGTTGTAGTTATGTAGCTTTATGTGTTTATCAAAATTCATAGATCTGTACCTTTAAAAAAAACAAGTAAGTTTGACTGTGTAAATTATGCCACAAAAATAAGTTGAAAAATCAGTGATTATCAGAAGATGTATAACTGTTCAAATGTGACCCCCACGTGTAGTGAGGATTCACTGTGACCCCATCATGCACCTGTACTACCCTGCACATGTACAGTAATGTAGTCTATTTGATGGTGCCGCAGCAGCCCTGACTCTGTGCATGTTCCCACTTTGCTATTCTAGTGCAGGTTCTATGGATGACGCCACAGTCCACTTGGCAATGTTCTGTTTTTGTTTTTTTTTGTTTGTTTTTGGGTTTTTTTTTTTTTTGATACTGGGGATTGAACTCAGGACCATGCACTTGCTAGGCACACTGTGCCTCTGAGCTAAATCCCAGGCTCATGGCCATGTTCTGACTAGCTACCTGCCTGAAAATGGACTAACCTAAAAAAAAAAAAAACTTCCCATGAGGAATATAATCATTATATACTGCAAACATGTACTAACACTTTTTAAATGGAAAAAACAAAAAAGGAAAAAGGAAAGTAGAATTAGTCAGATCACCTTGCCTGGCCCTGCCCCTGTTTCTTCCTGTCCAGGAAGGTTCATCCATGGCATCCTCTTAAAAGCTGAGGCTGTTCTACCACCATAATACCAAGAACCTCTTTGTGATACTGAATCTAATTCAAGAAAACTGGGAAGACAGTGGCAGGAAACTGTTCTTGCTGGATGGCTTGCAGGCTCAAGTTACTCAGAAGCCTTGTCCCTGGGAGGGAGGAAAGACAAAGCAATGGACCCATGGGCTCCCTACAGGGGCATGACTTAGGGAAAGGCACTGCTGTCAAACATGCCTCCACTACCCAGATGGGGCAGCGCAGGGAGTGGATGCAGGTCCCTCCCAAGAGCTGCTCCTGGCCTAGGAGTTCTGAAGGCTGCAGATTCTTGGGAGGGAGCAAGAACTGGGCACCAGGTTAGGTAGGGTATGGGACCCTAGAAAAGGGCATGGTACCTAGGAGAAAGGCGAGAGCTTGAGAGAAGGTTGGGAGCCTTATGGGACACAGGACCATGGGAACATGGGGCCTGGGAGATGCCACAGGACAGGGTTGAGCACAGGTTTCTGGGGAGGAGCAACAGATCTGTAAAATACTTGGGGTGAGGGTAGGGTTGGGGTGGAGAGTGCACAGCTGGGTTCTGCAGAAGGGGCACAGAGTCAGAAGTGTGCTCATGGTCTTGATGCGCTTTAGGGACAACGAGGAGATTCCTGGGAGTGAGGCGAGAAAAGGAGAGGGTCCTGGGACTAGGGAAGGGGAGAGAGATCCCAAGAAAGGGCGTGCATTTGG